CTCTTTCCTTCATTGTACTTTTATCATCTCTCTGCTTCATTAGTTGTTAATGAATTTTATTATTCGCTATAAAAAAATATATATATAAAAAAAAGTCAATTCGGTAATCATCCACTTGATGAACACAACATTATCTTCCAAACCGTAGTATTGCAGGTCCTTGATGTCAATGCATTTACACCCAATACATTCCAATTTTCCCAACCCTACATCCACTGTACCATCAATTTATGTCGCTCCTCAAGTGAATTAAATAAAACTTCCAACTTCTTAGCCCTTTCTCCAAATTTTCCATGAAAAAAAGCCGTCCACAAGCTTATAACCATATTCACACCAATGGTCTGTCTTTTCATGCTCAAACAAAACCAAGAAAATAAAACAAACAAACACCCCAAGGGATTTCAACCCAAGTTGTGGTCTGTATCCAACCTTTCCACACTCCAATTAAACTTTCTCGGCAAACAAACACCCTCTTTCAAGAAAGCTGCAGTATTCTCCCTCCGTTTCCAAACTGCAGTTGTCAAACACTAACTTCTTCTCCATACGATATTATTTTACGTAAATCCAACAAATATATTATCTCTATATTGGGAGAGTTTTTTCAGTTAAAGTTTGGTATTAATGCTAGCTGTGTCACCTTTGAGGAACACAGGCAACGATGGGAAGCAAGGAGAGAAGGAGAATAATTTCAGTATCAGTCCGGAGGAGTTTCCCGACTTTGGTGAAGGAAATTTGCTTGAAAGTATTGATTTTGATGATCTCTTCGTGGGCATCAATGACGGTGACGTGTTACCGGACTTGGAGATGGACCAGGAAATCCTTGCCGGGGACTTCCCCGTCAGTGGTGGTGAGGAATCGGAGATGAACAATTCCTTCATGTCCGAGAAGGCCGAAGTGGACAGTAGTCGGAGCCAAGAGGGAGAGGATAAGGTTTTGGGTTTAGGCTGTGTGAATTCCACCTCCAACAAAGGGGATGAGATTATGAGTGGGAGTGATGAAGCAGAAACAAAATTAAAATCTCTTCCAAATAAAGAAGCTTACAAAACAAGAAAATCATCAGCAGCACAAGCTAAGAATAATAATCAAGGGAAAAGAAAGGTTAAGGTAAGATTTGCTTCCTAAAATTGTTTTCATATAGATCTTGGGATTATGAGTCTCTCTATTATTTTAAAGGTTAGAATTAATTTTTCATAGTTAGTGGGTATTAATTTAGAGGATTTTATCTAAATAGATTCTAACTGTATGCAGGTGGATTGGACACCAGATCTGCACAGGAGATTCGTGCAAGCAGTGGAGCAGTTGGGTGTCGATAAGGCAGTCCCTTCGAGGATTTTGGAGATTATGGGGATTGATTGTCTCACTCGCCATAACATCGCTAGCCATCTTCAAGTACAAGCTCTTTTATGAATCTTCAATTCTTCTTGATTTTCACAAAGGGTGTAATATCCTCTTTTCCATATTGATTTGAACTCTTACTCAATAACATCATGTGGTTGTCCAGAAATACAGATCTCATCGGAAACACTTGCTAGCCCGAGAAGCGGAAGCAGCGGGCTGGAGTCAGAAACGGCAGATGTATGGGGGTGGAGGAGGAGGAAAGAGAGACATAAGTCCTTGGCTGGCTCCAACCATGGGTTTTCCTCCTATAACACCCATGCACCACCAGTTTAGACCCCTTCACGTCTGGGGACATCCTTCCATGGATCAGTCCCTAATGCATATGTGGCCTAAATATTTAGCTCATTCGCCGCCGCCGCCGCCGCCACCACCCACTACATGGGCTCATCCTCCACCACCAGACCCCTCATTTTGGCACCACCACCAACGTGTATGTCCCCTTTAATTACCTTTAAATTTCATTTCCATTTTGCATTTACCATTCTTTTCTTTTTCATCTAAATTGACATATTCCTTTTTGTGTATAGGTTTCAAATGGGCTAACTCCAGGAACTCCTTACTTTCAACATCCACTACCACTGACGGTAATTATTCCTTACTTTTTTGGAAGTTTTGAAGATGTTTTCAACTTTTGTCTTAAGTTTTGTTCTCATTTCTTCGCCGTTTATACTGCAGAGATTCCCTGCACCGCCGGTCACGGGCATTCCTCCCCCACATGCCATGTACAAAGTAGACCACGGCATTCCTGCCACCGTCACTGAACAATCAGGCCCTCACCCTCTCGTCGACTTTCATCCGGTCAGAACCTTTTATAACCATCTTATATGAATTCATTTTAATGGGTATGAGAGAAGTTATGTTAAGCAAAAGAATCGCACATAAAGTATATAATGGCAAAATAAATGAATTAAATATAAAAAACGTTATTTTGTTTATTGTCAATTAATTTTAAATTTAATATAAATTTTATATTAAAATTCATACATTAAGTTGTTAAGGCCACACATATTTTGATTTCTTTAAATATAATATTTCATGGTATTTAAAAATATTATAATATAAATTAATTGAGTCTATTAAATAATAAATATTAATTCTTTTATCAATTATCAACAAAACATTATAGTTATTATTTATTTTTAATTGTCAAGTAAAACAAAATTAATTTTTGAACTCACAATATTTATAAAATATATTATATATTCTTAACATTCTAATGTATAGCCATAACCATACTCTTATTTTAATAATACATTAAAAGGTTAGCTATCTGCTACTCACCTAGATTTAAATCTATAATCTGTAACATATTTTGGTCATGTTCTGTAACAGTCTAAGGAGAGCATAGACGCAGCCATTGGAGATGTTTTATTGAAGCCATGGCTACCGCTTCCCCTAGGTCTGAAGCCGCCATCTATTGACAGTGTTATGGGGGAACTGCAGCGTCATGGAATCCCAGAAATACCACCCTCCTTGGCTTGACACATATGACATGACATCAATTAGACCAATGGTGTTGATTTCTGGACGACGCTACTCTTATTAATTTGACGACATGTCGTATCATGTACACCTCTAATCTCTGTATGTATGAGTTTT